CAGTCTTAACACCATCCCTATTTTACATGGTAAGTTTCTATTAGATTTAATTCATTACAAAAGGATGCCAGTTTTTCCATATTTCTGCCTAGTTTTTGGCTCAGACAGATTGTTTCTGTGTTTCATAAACAGGCTACGGTTTCAGCAAGGATTTATTTCAGTGTTAGGTGCTGTCAGTCCAGAGATTTTACTGCTATTCAACAAACGAGAAAGCAGCACAACTATTTGAATCAATTATTTGCTATAAATTAGTGACATGCATTATCTGCTGTTGTCTGAAATCATAAGCCCAAACAGAAAGATTGAAATCTAGATAAATATTATAAATGTATGATTGAATTATACAGAAATATAGCTATAAAGATATACAACTTCCCTTATAGTTGCGGTTGATGTTCATTGATTTGCAAACTCTGAAAGCTACAGCGGGTGCTGTTATTCTCACTTTCACAGACAGGTATTAGTGCATGAAAATGTGCAGCAATTTGCCTCAAGCCAGGAGCAGTGCAGTGCCGGGGCTGCTGCCATGCAATCTCCTGCCCCCACACGTTACGCTTCACATTCTCATCATTAAAGAGTGAAAAAGATGGCAACTGCTTTCTTCAGTGCAGTCTATGCCCATCTGGCCACCTTCCTAGAGGGAAGCCGCTGAAAGATAACCCAAATCTTCCTTTGGGAGCAGTGCTAGCTTAATGTGGATGTCCTTCAAAGCTCTCTGTGCGGTGTTTCTTTCATTTTGCGCAGGAATATCTGCCTTATCGCTTTCAGAATACCTATGTGTGTGTATGTGTGTTCAGTGCTTTATCTGACGAAGTGAGGTGCCTGTAAGAGCAATCTCTGTGAATACTGGAGGCTCCTTTCTGTCACACGTTTATCGCCAGCTCACACCAGTGATTAGCTGCGCTTGCAGCGGGGGAAGTGCAGCTCCCAGAAATCACTTTCACACCGTTCATCTCTGAGGGCTTCTCACCGCTACCCAGGAAAGGAGATCAGGGAACTTCTAGGTGAACCAAGAAAGGATGGACCCTTCTGCAGGCATCTGACAAGTCTGAGCTCATGTAGGAAGGAAACTTGACTAGCAGCCTTGTAAAGTGTGCCTTGGAGAGCACCACATCCTGCAGTGCTGAGGCAGTGTAAGCAGTAAGCTTATGCAGAGGCATAAAATGTCATTGTTCATTGCTATTCATCTTCATTGTTAATAGATGAAACAGGATCAGGTGGAAATATAAATTGATAGACATATTAGGAAGGCTTCAGAGAGAGATGAATGCCCTGTCTTGCAAATGCTAGTGAGTGCTGAAGTGCCCTGTCTGACCAGTGCAGACGTAGGGCAGGGACTCAAGCATTCGGCGCTGGAGCTTCCTGAGGCACTGCAACAGCAGTGGACATGTGCTCCAGGAAAGCCCTGGATGGAGGATGTCCTCCTAATTCCACCAAGGTTAGGCTTTATTTTATGATTTTCTACAGAATTGATAATTAAGACACTGGAGAAGGCCTCTTGTAAAAGCAGTTGTAAGCCAAGAGGGGACTTTTGTCCTTCTCCTCTTCCCTCCTCTCCCTTCCTGCCATCAGTTGATATAGAAATTAATTTAGCATTCTATTTAATAAAAGCATTACAGGTTGGTCAGGGATAAAACAAAGCATTACTGAATGACACGGTTACTTAAACTATCCTGTCCCAGGATTAGGGCCATCAGGGGAAAAATGCATTTTTATTAACAGAATGAAACAGATTATGCATATCTGGAATGAAAATACAGTCAAAGCTCAAAAACATTAGAAAATTGCTGATGATATGTTTGGGAGAAAAGAAAATCTAAAAGATACATTGTTCTCTACAGAAAGACTTCCAAAAGAAACTCATAAAACCATTTAGGTATGTAACTGCAGAACTTGAAACAAGATCTGGTGACAAAAATTCTTGTGGAATGTGTTCTGGAAGTTAGTAGTTAGAACTGGTTGGATAACTGCTACTTCAGGTTGCTTTTAATTTTAAGACCTGAAACAGCTTTTTACTGAGAAATTAAAAGGCAAAGACATACTGATAAACTATGCCATCCTAATACAACTAGAATGTTTTATGTGAGCTATTTAAACCACTTGGATTTTAAAAATAAGACATAACTGGAAATTATTACTAGTTTTAAATTTTAATGATTTTTTTTTCTGAAAAGAAATTACCAGTGGTGATAGTGGCATAGGTCTGCAGAGTAACTTGAACCTGCATTTGCATCAAAACTTTCTTCATCTGAAAGTCTAGGTCATTTCTACTCTTAGCGTAGTGATTGGCAGTACCACAGGGAAGTGAATGAACAAGAAAAATACATACATTATGCCCTCCATTACTTTCTTCCACATAATAAAATAAATATTTTTCAGAGTTATGAGAAGTTGCAGAAGCTATAAAGAACTGAGAATGAACAATTCCCAGTCAGAGCAATCCATTAAGAACTGCTGAAAGCAGACCACCTACACATTGTTTCTGACAAAGAGGGAAAAAGAGATTTTTTCAGTGCTGTAACAGTTCAAAAAAAGAGTATTAGAAGCAAAAGGTCTATACGACTGCAATAGTTGCAGAGGTTTTTTTTTTTTTCTGAAAACTGTTTATCCTGAATTATAGGTGATAAAATGTATTAGGCTTTGCATATACTTCTTAATGGCCTTAGATATAATGAAGTCACTTTAATGAGCTGTGCTGTGGGTACCGCGGTGTTACTGCAAGCCAGACAAATAAAGCTTGCTGGAGTGGAGAATAGACTGATGGAAAGCTACTAATGAAACAACTACTGTGTTAACCTAGAAGCTTCTCCACAAGATACGAGATTAAGTCGCTTTACTCTTCTGCCCAAAATACTCCTTATAAAACCAAAAAGAAACAAAAAACTGTCCAAGAGGTATTACTGTTCCTCTCAACAAGTGTAATACGCAATCCAAACTTCTTAGTTACAGCAGGAGAACATGAGGGATGATTTAGAAAGGGGCCAAATTCTTGCAGTTATAATCTTCTGGCAGCTTTAGCGATGACTGGCAGACCTAACGAAACAAAGATGCATTGGATTTTAAGCCTGACAAGGATGAGCGCAACTTGTAAACACCATCTGCAAGAAGTCCAAACCATTGGTATTGCAGAATATGTCCCTGGTTCTGCACTGGAACAGAATCTCTTGTTTCATCCTCATAAAAGTAGCCAACTCTGAATCATTTCTGAATGTAATAAATACAGTACAAACAAAAAAGAGCACCTGGCACTTCCTTGGATAGATGAAAGAATATAGCATACAGCATGATGGTGGTATTTTCATGACACTGTTTCAGGCAAACAAAGCAGCGTAACTTGCAACTTGCCCAGAAAATAAATGGCAGGGTTGCCAAGAAATGGTTACTATTGCTAGCACTACAAATGATAGATGAATTATTTTCTGTGAGCTCCTAGATTATGGTTGTTACAATATGAGTTTGATTTAATGTTGTATTCATAGTTATTGAAATAAAAGGAATTTGATTCAGGGGGTGGGTGGGAGAAAATCTTTCTCATCATCTCAGAAGTGTCTGCCAGGCCAAGCTAGAAAGCCAATTTTGCTAAGTATTTGTATGGTATCTCATACAAAAGTTATTGTACCAAACTTCTTGACCTCCGGCTCCCAAATTAATGCCATACGCTTGCTTGTGATTTTGAGGTCTGTTGCTACCCTGATTACTTGGAAGGATAATTGACATCAGCAGTTCATTGCTGTGATTTGCTATTTCGGTGCTGGTTATATACCCTGGTTCATGTGTCACCTTATTCTGTCACAATAAACTGATCTTTGGCAATAGCTGTCCACACTGTGTGGTGTGATAGATCATGCTCACAGCATGTTTTTCAACAGTAAAGGAATATCATGATGTTATATATTTAAGTATGTTTATAAGAAGATTCCACTAGTCTTGCAGATGTCAAGGATAAGTCACAGTGACATGGCTGGGATAAAAAACCCTCTGAGGTTTGGTCACAATTAATCCTCTTTGTACATTAGATGGTTTTGTGTTTCCTTTGGGATACTCTGAGCTGTGGTTTGAGGTGTAGACTTTCTGCTCAATGTAGCTATTTGTATACAAATGCATCCCCATATGTTTTTCAGCCCTAATGCTGGTATGTGCTGTTGATAGATCTTGGCAGCTGAGTATACAGGTCATAGAGTATGTATGTGTCATACCAATCTGAAGAAATAACGCATGAGCAGGTGACAAAGAAATGGGTTTTGAATAGGAAAATTCAACCTACTGTTCAATTTTTGCAAAATTGATATATTTGCAATACGTAGCTACATTTATATAATATACATGGGCATAGTGTATATATATGAGTATGTATGAGGCCATATAAAGAAGTATGTTCCAAAATCAGGCTTTTTAAGCACTTGCTGGGAGGGCAAGATTGTTTTCACTTTATAACACAGATATTTCTATATCTGAGCTGGTTGACTTAAGCTGCCTTAATTGTCAATGGAGATTCAGTCAATGCAGTCAAGAGTGTATGGCAAGATTCACCTCATCCTAAAAAAGTCACCTCAAACAGGCTGGATCAATTTGGTGCTGGAAACGCCTGTTTCTCTTAATTGACTGAAAACAGAGTCTCCAGTGATGAGCTCAGTTGTGTCTAAAATAAGACAGGAGGAATCCCAGCCATATTGCTGACTTTGCTGCAGATTGCTGACTAAAATCTTCCATATGCAGTACAAATTTTAGGTCTAATTTTCTGCCGTACGGCCTGTTGAATAGCTATTTGTGTATATGTAAAATAAGGCTAACTCGCTACTAATTTTAAACAGAAGTTTTAACTGCATGGGGTTTTTATTATTAAAAAAAAAATCCTCATTTGATGCAACAAATTCCTATGAAAGGTGAAAGGCACTATACAGAACTGGGCCCGCTAGCCTTCATTTGGGACCTCAGCTGCAAAGTAAGTATTTAACATGTTATTAGCATCAATTCCTGACCAGTGTCTTATGCTTTGCCAGCTCCTAGCCATCGATGCTATGTTGGCAATGGCACGGAGTACAGAGGTACGGCAAAGACAACCATTTCTGGACACAGCTGCTTGCCTTGGGATTCAGATTTACTTTACCAAGAGCTTCATGTTGACAGCATTGAGAAAGCACTACAGCTTGGCTTGGGGCCGTTCTCTTACTGCAGGTGAGAAAAGTTCATATTTACCCTGTATTTGTGAATCGAGAGGTGGATGTGTTGTGGAAGAGAGAAGGGCTAGAAATCTCAAAGCAGGTGTTGTCCTTGTTTTGGAAAAGCTAGACTGACTTTAACAGCCTGACATGAGGGATGTAAGTGTGCAGAAGACAAGGTCTGGTAGACAGGCTAGATGAATAGCTGGGTCTGCCAAGAGAAGCTCAGACACAAAATGATGTTGGAAATTCCAAGTCCTTTTTTTTTTCTGCAATTTTTTTTTTCAAATGAAACCATAGTGCAAAACTTCTGAAATTTTTCATAAATGACTATCCAAAAGGAGAAAGAAACGCACTAGCCAAATTGAAGCGGTTAACTTTTTATTTGTAATTCTTAAATGGTGAAATACATAATAAAAAGGAAAATAATTTCAAAAGTGAAAAGTTATTTGAAAATTAAAAATCAAAGTAATATACTTTAACAAAGTTGAAATTGGATGTCAAATTTCTTTCCTGGTGTCATGGTTTAACCCCAGCTGGCAACTAAGGACCACACAGCCACTCGATCACTCCACCCATGGTGGGATGGGGGAGAGAATCAGAAGAGTAAAAGTGAGAAAACTCGTGGGTTGAGATAAAGACAATTTAACAGGTAAAACAAAAGCCACGCATGCAAGCAAAGTAAAACAAGGAATTCATTCACCATTTCCCATCAGCAGGCAGATGTTCAGCCATCTCCAGGAAAGCAGGGCTCCATCACGCGTAATGGTTACTTGAGAAGACAAACATCATCACTCCAAACATCTACCCCCTTCCTTCTTGGACCTTGACAGGCTTGAGAGGTGGGCCCATGAGAACCTCATGAAGTTCAACAAGGCCAAGTGCCGGCTATAGGCTTGGCAGAGAATGGATTGAGAGCAGCCCTGAGGAGAAGGACTTGGGGGGTGTTGGTGGACGAGAAGCTCAACATGAGCTGGCAATGTGAGCTTGCAGCCCGGAAAGCCAACCATCTCCTGGGCTGCACCAGCCGGTCGAGGGAGGTGATTCTCTCCCTCTACTACTCTCTCATGGGACCCCACCTGGAGTACTGCATCTGGCTCTGGGGCCTCCAACATAAGCGAGTCCAGAGGAGGCCATGAGGATGATCAGAGGGCTGGAGCACCTCTCCTATGAATATAGGCTGAGAGATTTAGGGTTGTTCAGCCTGAAGAAGAGAAGGCTCCAGAGAGACCTTATAGCAGCCTTCCAGTGCCTGAAGGAGGCCTACAAGAAAACTGGAGAAGGAGTGTTTACAAGGGCATGGAATGATAGGACAAGGGGGAATGGCCTTAAGCTGAAGGAAGGTAGATTTAGATTAGATATTAGGAAGAATTTTTTCAAAATGAGGGTGGTGAGGGACTGGAACAGACTGCCCAGAGAAGCTATGGATGCGCCCTTCCTGGCCTATGGATGCCCCATCCCTGGAAGTGTTCAAGGCCAGGTGGGATGGGGTTCTGGGCAATGTGGTCTAGTGGAGGGTGTCCCTGCCCATGGCAGGGGGGGGTTGGAACTGGATGATCTTTGTGGTCCTTTCCAACCCAAACCATTCTAGGATTCTATGATCCTAAGAATATTCCTTTGGTCAGTTGGGGTCAGCTGTCCCAGCTGTGTCCCCTCCCAACTCCTTGTGCACCCCCAGCCCACTCGCTGGTGGGTTGGTGTGAGAAGCAGATAAGGCCTTGATGCAGTTTAAGCACTGGTCAGCAATAACGAAAACATCCCTGTATTATCAACACTATTTTCAGCACAAATCTAAAATATAGCCCCATACTGGCTACTATGAAGAAAATTAACTTTATCTCAGCCAAAACCAGTACACTTGGATGTCTTCCAAAACAAAATTATTGCAAAACAAAATTTCACAGTGTTTCAATTTTGATTGAATCACAGATATGATAAACTCCATTTCTGCTAAGTTTTCTGTTCAGCTATAATTAGTTTGTGGTATATAGGTTTGTGCTTTCCCCTCACTCACTGTATGTTCCCCCTGTCTCTAAGGGCTTCATGAGATCAATGGCTATCCACAAATAAAGGAAATGTTTCCATTTAGAGAGAATGCTGGAGAGGAACAAATGCTAGAAATGACAAAATTTAGACTCTTCTGTGTAAATTACTGGTTGATGTCTCTCTCTGGGTTGTTTTTGTGGTGTGGTTGGGTTTTTTTGGTTTTGTTGTTTTGGTTTTTTTTTTAAGTTAGACCAGTATTTCAGGAAGACTAAAATGTACTGCACTTCCTAATTTGTTTGGTGATAAAAAGCACACATGCATGCTGAAAGTAGCTCCTCTTCTCTATCTAACACAAACTCATAAGCAGTTCCCACACCCTTCCTTAACACAGATCAGCTTGCTTTCCAAAGCTTGGTCCCCATTCAAGCATTTCAGTATGAGATTTATGGTGTCCCAGCACAGCATGGCAATTTCTTGGGCACATATTTTATGCTTTGATAAATCTTGATCTCTTCGATTTACATCATTTAAGCACAACATTCACTTGCAGATTTGAAATGCAAAGAACAAAATGGTGTAGGAGCTGATGTGTTCATGTTCTGTAGAGCTGAGAAAAAAGCTTTTCACTTTTTTGTCAGCTTGTTACAATTTCTGGGGATATCTCTGCTACACTATATAATCCTGCAGATATCTTCTTCTTCAAATAGTCTAATTTAGAAACATTGTTGGCGGAAGATGACTCAACCTGTGTTGCTTCTTCAGTTCTGAGAATTTGAAAGTGCTTTAATCTTTTTTTGAAGAGCAGTCAGATTAAAAAGAAAAAAGATACCGAAGAACCTTAAAATAATAGATAATGCTTCTGATAAATCCACCTGAAATTAGAATTACTGTTTATCTGGAGCCCTGAATTACCTTGTCTATTTTTCTTGGCCTACTGAAGGTCTTTCTGGGTCTTCAAAGTTTCCCTATGTTCTTGGAGAAGTAAACTAGGCAAATTTCTGGTTACTTATAAGGCATTGATAATGGAATTATCAATTAAGGCATTCCTAATGGAATCAAACCAAGACCTGTTTAACACCAAGGTAACAAAGGGCTAATCCGATTCCAATATTTTTTAATGCCAATTTTTTTTGCCTCCCTTTTGAGGAATACAATATTTTCTTGAGGCAGTCTTTCATTTCCTCAGACTCTCTAGGGAATGTGAACCTGAGCTTCTCAAATTCGTTTTTGCTAACTATTTTTGTTATGGGTTTTCTATGAATCTACCTGTGTTGGAATTTCCTTGCATAAAAAAATCATCTAAAAAAAGGAATCTCTCCTATGGGATTTAGTCCTGAAAATAGCTGAGCTGATATCTGTTAAAGTGCTTCAGTGTGGGCTATATTTAAACCATGTGAACATGCTCATGCATCCAAATACTTGTAGGCAAATTGTACAGGTGTTTAGTCATGTGTCTGTATTTCAGGTCCTAGAGAACCTTAGACTTGGTTAGCTTTAAGCATGAAGAATGCTACTGAAAGGCTGCTCACCCGTTTAGGGGTTAGCAGGTACTTCTGCTCTTTGTCAGATGGCTGGAAACTGGAAAGTCCTGTCAGTCCTCTGCAGAAAACCTCTGGGAAGCTTGGAACAAACACTGTGATTAATGCTTGTAATTCCCTCTCCCCCTGAATTAATTAGAAATCCAGATGATGATGAGAAGCCATGGTGTTACATCACGAAGGACAACAGTTTGTCTTGGGAGTATTGTGATGTTCCATCTTGTGGTATGTAAAGGCTCTCTTAAAATCTGTGTTATGAATGAATGAAGAAAGATTTATTGATACTAGAACAAGCTTTCACTGTATAACTTTGAATGTTCTACTGTTCCCAGGAGTATTGAATATTTTACTGTGTGCAGTAAATCAAATGACAACAACAATCTTATTTTGCATTTTTTGGAGTTGTGATACAATCTGTGATTTTTGTTTTGAAATACTGTATAACAGCAGTGTCACACTACTGCTTTCAGTCAAAATCATCCCAATATCACCAAATTTTCTGCTAGAACATGAAAGATGTCAGACATGATTGATGTTTTGGTACAAATTGTCATCACTCAGGGAATTATGGGCCCAGAGAAGTGAATGGGCCTCTGTGAGCGAATAGAGGAAGGGATCCTGAAGATGTACGAGACATAGTATTTAATTCCAAAACCTAAAGACTCTGGTCTTCCCCTAAATTAATATTTACCTGTTGTTAATGTTGAAGCTGACCTTTAGAACAGAGTTGTAATCTGAAAAGTCAGTTTATAAAGTGGTCCTTTTATTTCCCTTTTATGGCTCTAATGCATTTGATAGGTGATACTAACACCAGTGTTGTAGTCCTTGCTATTGCAATGGCAGAGCTTGGTCCAGAATCTGAAAATGAAGATGTGATGGATGTCTCATGCATTCTGTTGTGCCTCCTCTGGTAGTGAAGGCTGTATTTGTACTGGTAAATGAAACAGTGTCCGGGAATGTTCAGAGGTGCATTTAATTTACACTAACTAGTACATGTGTAGCCAGTGTTGGGAATAGGCATAACTTTCAGTCTCGCAACTCTCCTGAGGAACTGACAGAGATTCAGTTGTATGGGAATGTTTAATGATAGTTTAATGAACTTTTCTTTTAAAGACTCCTTAATCCTTAGAAATCACAAGGATTTATCATCTGATGGCATATCCCTTTATATTTCAGCAAGCAGGGAAAGGAGGCCACCAGTTCCAGACAATGTAGATACTTCTGAAGTTACCAGAAGACCATGTGGGAGAAGACACAAAAAGAGAAGTTTTGTGAGACCTAGAATTGTTGGAGGATCTTCATCTCTGCCTGGATCTCATCCCTGGACAGCAGCTATATATATTGGAGAGAGTTTCTGTGGTGGAAGCCTTATTCAGACTTGCTGGGTTGTGTCAGCAGCACACTGCTTTGCTAACAGGTAAACTCACCCGTTAGTATGACAGTAGGTCCTCTTCTCCTCAGAGTCACCATGTGCCTGTGACTCACAACAAACCTGAACTGAGGTAAGAAAGAAGATGAGATTATAAAAGACCAATGTTTGATAAGGAGTTTCTTGCAATAGGAATGCAGCTCATGAGCTAACAAATAGCTTGCAGTCCTATTACCTCACAAGCCCTTATCTTGCTCCTTAAGGAGTCTCAAAGAAGCTAAATGACCCAACTGAAGGAATAAGGTAGTGCTGAGCAGGACATAGAATGGGAGCTTGCATGTGTAGGCATCTGCAAGGGTTTATAAGTATTTGTCTTCTCCTCAGTTACCTTTTTGAACATTTATTCCTGCTTTGAGGTGTAACAGAGGTGGCTGCTCACTGCAGTGTTTTGTTCAAAAAGGCTGAGACAGACAAGCAATGATTTATTAGAGACGCTAAATTGGTTGACATAAATAGAGTGGGCTGAGCATTACAAAAAGCCAAAGGGAAGACCTGAAATGTTAATTTTTTTGAGGCTGATTTCCTTGACAATTGTTTTGGGTTTTCTGGAGGGTTTTTTGTTCTCCACCTGTGGGACACTGGAGAAAATATTGACTATAGGATACTCTTACTTTATTCTAAATATTTCATTTCCTACAAATACTGAACGCTTTCCCTGATTTCAGTTTGATCACATTGATGGGAAAAATATTACATCATCTCATACCCATTGTTCTTTTGCATAGTAAAGGAGCCAAGAGAAACAGAAAACCTTGTGCCAGAATACATACACTGATAGCTTGTGGAGCTAATAATACCGTTGTGAATGCTCTACTGAAGCATTTGGAGCTTGAGCCACAATGCATTTGTTTTTCAAATGTTGTGAAATAGCTACTAACTTTGGCAGCTATTCAGGACATTCCCACCCACTTCCAGCTGGTGGTTTGGTACATACAGATTTTCCATAATTGCTGCATTGTAATTTGGTCTCTTCCGTATGTTTAGTACCTCTGGGTTAGCCACAATTTCAACTGTTTTCCGCTAGGCGACAATAGATACCTGTGCAGCTAACGTTTTTTTTTATTCCTTTTCTGTAACCCCTCCTGTTTTATTTCTTTTCCTGAATGAACCACCTGTAAGTCATAGTAGAACCATTCAGCACCTTTAAAGTCTATTCTAAATACTATCCTGGGAAGAAAACTTCCCCTCTGTTTTACAGGCCCAAAATGTGATTTTCAAGGAGGTTGATTTACCACTACAAAGACACTGAGAAATTCCTGGCCCTGCATATTGATTGAAGAATATTTTATTGTCTTCTTGTGTTCCAGTCATGGAAAAACGAACTTTGTGCTTTCCTTTGTTAATTATAAGCACAGTTATTGTTGCAGGGTAGCTGCCAGCTCTCTGTGCTGCAATTAGCTAGAATCTCTTTCCTCTAGGTACGTTACTGTTGATCATTGCTTTGTGCTCAGTACTGGAGGAGACTCCGCAGTGCTTTTGTATCGGACAGGCACTACTGATGCACAGAAACACAACTAGGGAAACTTTGCAATTGTGTTGACGACTCTGTATCTGTGCATGATGCGTGACACCAGATATTTTCTGCTCCTGCACTGGATAACAAAACATATGAGTGCTCTGATGTTGAAGACACTTGCTAAATTCATTGTAGACTTATGCGTGTGTAGATTGAATTGGTTTTAACGCAAGAGTGAAATTTGAATTCTGTTGCTTTCAAAGCTAGAGAATTTACTGTCTTTCTAAACACTTCCTAATTATTCCCAAATGTCGCTTTCTTCCCAACTGTTGTACTGGTTCTTGTTAATTGTCTGTCCTTGGACACTGGATATGAGAGGACTGTAGTCTTTTTAATGTAAACAGTCAGTGGCTGTAAAAGATGGTGTGGATTACAAAAACTGTATTCTCTTCTGAGTGTGGTTTTTCCCATTAGATCAGTGTGCTGTTGGGACCTTTCTCCACCAAGTTGCTTCTGATTCTAGACAACTGACTTAACGTAGTGTCATGAATGGACTCATGCACTTCACTCATAAGAGAGAAGCAACAGTATACTTTATTGATAAAAATCAGTGAGTTAAGAAAGTTGAATGGTAAATGCAACAGTAGTTTAACAAGATTTGATGGCAAGATACACTTGGTTATTTACTGCATAGAGGACAGGGTTAGACAAAACTGTCAGGGAGACCCTCCTGTTGAGTCATGAGGTTCAGAAAGGACCCCCTTGCTTTCTAAACTCCTCAGAGAGGAGTCTAGGTGCAGCTGGATCCAATCCTAGTCCCAGACTTGGTCAACAGTTTATGTCTAAAGGACTATATATGTGCAATCAATCCTTTATATCACTTAGCTAAGATTTCAGTTTCACATGCCATTAGTCACTTATCGGAGATCTGTTGCAGCAAGGAATCTCTCAGCCTCAAGGAGTGACCTTGAGAGGTGTCCCCACTCAAGGGGAGATCCTGGCGTGCAGCCCACTGCCATGCAGGAGACCTCAAAGGGCTCTTGGGCTGCTCACTGTTTATGGAGTAAGATGATTGACTTATAGTCATATTTGCGTACTGACTGGAGATGTTAGTTTCTTCCAAATTTGCCTTGAGCCAGACATTGACCAGCACTGTGGTTAGGTGGGCTCGTTGCCATAAATTAGGCCTTGGCTACTGTGTTGTTATCTGTCTCCCCTGAATCCACTTTGAGACGGATGCAGCCATCATGACCAGACGCAGCCATCATGACTAGACGCATCTGTCATGACCGTCACTGGTGGTTATCACCTGAGCAGGGTTACAGGAAAAGGTCAGGTCTGGGGGCAGGAGGGAAGCACACCGTTACACATAGACCAATCTAATCTCAGAGTAGAAGTGGTGATAGCTCTTAGGTGAAAGCTGCCCAGATGTTCCTGAGTTGTCAGTCTGCCAGCACTGTGGTGGGTTGACCCTGGCTGAGG